GAAGAAATATGATTCCTAACCATTCTTGAAGTTTTCCATGTAGAATTTTCCCAGAGAAGCACAGCTAGTTAGGAGAGTGCTAAGTAAGCCTTGATTAATTTTACCAATATATAATAAACCCTACAGTGTGCCAAGTATCCAGTAGGCAGTAGGGATATAAACATGAATAAAATATGGTGTCTGACTTTGAGGGCTCAGTCTAATAAGGAAAGACCTAGAAAAGAGTTCTGGGATTGAAGGTGTGCACCACCACACCCAGCACAAGCATATGTTTTAAGAAGTTCACAATCTATTTGTGAAATAGAAAAGTGAGAACAGGGGCTGGAGAGATGGCTCAGTGATTAAGAGCACTGGCTGTTCTCAAAAAGGACCTGGGTTCGATTCCTAGCACCCACATGGTGGCTAACAGCCATCTATAACTCCAATTCCAGGGGATCAGATGCCCTCTTCTGACCTCCATAGGCATTGCACAACATGGGTGCACTTGCATACATGCAGGCAATACACAGTACACATAAAATAAAAATAACAAAATATTTTTAAAAAGGAAAAGTGAGAACTACTGAATTTCATCTCCCATATCTGTCATCATAACCATTGCTAAAGTTCATGTTTGCATTTCTTTCTGTGTGAGTACTGTTTTGGCCTTCTGTTGGAACTTCTACTTCCAGCTTCTCAATCAGACCATTAACATTGCTGATATATCTATCGAGCAATCAACAAACAGACAGATAGATATTCCTGCCCTCAAAGCTATGTTTTGATCATAGTATTCCTCTGATTAGAATTAGTCATTTTCTTATTTCACACTCTTCAGTGGCTCCCCTTCACCTATAGAATTAAGGCCTACTCCTTTGCAGGACATGCAAGGCCCACTGATAAATGACCTTGGTTTGCCTTTTTAGTATCACTTCTCAGTAATTCTTCTCTAGTAGCACTGAGATGGCTCCTCTTAAAATGTTTTCCATCATAACCTTTCGTGGCTGGTTAATTCTGACCCATCCTTGAAGATGAAGTTCAGCTTCCTTTCTGCCAGAACCACCATCTCTAATCCACCAACCAAAATGACATACACAAAGGGAAAGAGGAGAGATATCCAATATACATTCTCTGGGCCTTTTGGAAAACACAGAGTTGCTCCTTTGGCCACATGTATGTGAATGTACAAGAAGGGAGGTAGTGTTAACATCAAGAGAATGAGTACTATTCAAAAAGGAATGTCCTGGGACTGGAGAGATGGCTCAGAGGTTAAGACCACTGGCTGTTGCAGAGGACCCAGGTTCAGTTACGAGCACCCACATGGTAGCTAACAGCCATCCATAATTCCAGTTCCAGGGGGTCCAATGCCCTCTTCTGGTCTCTGTGAGCATTGCGTGTATATGGTACACTTATATACACACAAGCAAAACTCTCATACACATTAAGAGAGAAATGTCCCATAAATGTTACCAAGCAAAACTGGAAGAGTACAGTGTTACCCAGTATGCTCTTGGCATTGTTATGAACAAGCAAGTTAAAGGCAAGATAATTGCCAAGGGTATTAATATACATTCTGAGTATGAAGCACCGAGAGAGCTTCCTCAAACAGGCAAAGGGAAGTATGAGAGAAAGAGAGAGGTCAAAGAGAAAAGTACCTGGTTCAGCTGAAGGCCTGCCTGTGCTGCCCAGAAAAGCACATTTGTGGGAACCGGTGAAAGGAGCCCAAGCCGCTTGAGCCTTAATAGATACAAATACACTTAATAGAAACAAATAGCCTCTAGATTGTAAAACAAAATATTTTCTTAACTAGATAGAAGTGTGGTATCTTCTACACTAAAGAAATATTTAAAGCCAAAAATAATTTTTAAAAAGGACCTAGCTCAAATGTCATTTTACAGAAATTTTCCCTAATCCTCAACTGATAGCTATTCTTCTATGCCCTCATAATACTGTGCCCCTGTCTGTAACAGTGCCCTTCACTATATTGTTTCTGTTTTGTTGAACTGAAAGAATGAATTGATTTCTGTGTGTCCCCCCACCCCTCCCCCGCCAGTCCACTATATATCTCAGTTTAGATGCCATCTCCTTCCTGATACACTTCCTGGATTGCCCCATGGATTTTTTTTTTGTATTTTTGCTAAACATTTGGTTGATTAGGATTCTCTCATAGCTTCATTCTCTTCTTTGTCTTACTTTCCACAACCCCTTGAACATAATTTAGGACTCTATAGCTTGGGGAAAGAATCCCTGTTGGAACAACTGGCCCTGGAGTTTCAGACCTGGGTTGTATTAAGTCCTCGGCGCTTGGAGTTGGTGCAGCTGCTGGGACTGGCAGATGTGTTCACAGTGGAGGAAAAGGCTGGACGCATTCATGCTGTGGCCCATACAGAGATCTGCCATTCTGCCATGCTTCAGTGGAACCAGACCTACCCTACCATTGCTATCCTTCCCACAAGCCGAAAAATCAGCAGCTCTCACCCTGATGTCCACATCATCCCTTACTCTGACCATTCCTCCTACTCTGAGCTTCGTGCTTTTGTTGGGGCTCTAAGGCCTTGCCAGGTGGTGCCTATTGTCAGTCGAAAGCCTTGTGGAGACTACTTTCAGGACAGCCTGAGTCCCAGGCTCTTTATGCCTCTGATTCCAGACTCCGTGCAGCAATACATGAGCTCTTCCTCTAGGAAAACAAACATGCTCTGGCTCTTAGAAAGGAGGTCAAAGAGGCCAAGAATCCAAGGTGTTGTGTTTGAATCCCCTGAGAAAAGTACTTATCAGTCTGAAACTGACAGAGACTCAAAGAAGCTTAAGAAAGAAAACCTTTCTCCCTGGACGGAGGACCTTGAGAAGCCCTCCCACCATTCTCTGCAGGTCAGGAAGCAGTTGTTCCCAGACGTCCCCAGCAAAAAATGGGATGAGCCAGACCCATTCTGCAAATCCGAGAAGCTGGGGAATGTATTGACTGACCCCTTGGTATCTTCAATTCACTTACAACCTATAGATGAGTTTATCTCTCCAGAAACCACAAAGGAAAATGGGTTTCAATTCTCCTTACTACCTAGGGGAGGTGATGGTTCACCAGCCAGAGGGAACAAAAGTGACTGGATAGGCCGTGATTCTCCCCGGTCTCACATTAGCAAGACCACCCATCTTCTAGCTACTGAGTCCAGGGGCCTGGCACTAAAATACCTTCTGACTCCAGTGAACTTTTTCCAGGCAGGCTTTTCTTCCAGGAGTTTTGACCAGCAAGTGGAAAAATACCATAAACCCTTGCTAAAGTACACACAGGAGACTATGGTATGATAGTCCTGTTTGATCTAGCACTGCAATTTTGAAAATGGTGGCTGATGGCTAGTGGCGAAAGTTTGCCTTATGCCTTACTTTACAGAATTCTATGGGCTCACCCCAGAATAGCACTTCCTAAATGCTTGTTTAAGGAGTTCTAGTACCTATGAAATCCTTCATTTTATAGCTGATTACATTATAAACGTTTCAGTATACATAGGCACATTAAAAGTTCTTGGAAGGCATATAGCAACCTAATCTGTTTAACTTTGTTTAACCTAGTTTTTCTCAAACTTTTATAAATACACATTCCCTTTTTTGGGTGCAGAGAGAATATGGTCTGAATCAAAAAAGGACCAGGATCCTCCCATTGTTACTTTGTTTGCTGTGTGCCATTCCTCATGTTCCCTCCTCCCTTCTCCCAGATAAAAGTCCCTAGGTAGTTCATTTTTTAAATTATAAATTGTGGTGCTGGAGGATGAATGGTAGCCCAAGCAGCACATGCCAATCCTGAATGTCACAGACTTGCTGTGACCCTATAGGTAACTTCCTGTCTGTGTCTATGGGAAGGAACAGGAAATGAAGAGGCCTTGAAACAGTATTGAAAATGCCACTTTTTGCCTCTTTCATGAAGGGGTGCAGTTGGTGTCACCAGAAACCCATCTGGAACAGAGCCATGTGAGTGAAGTAGGTACCCTTCTCTAGGGCAGTACCTGGAATGCAGCTGAGCATTAAAGCCCAGAGTATAACAAGTCTACTTGCTGCTTGGAGCCACTAACTATTTGGTTAAAATAAAGCTACAAAAGGTCAAATGTGTTGCCAGATATTCCTCTGATTGTTCACATAGCTGGGATATTTTTGCTGCTCCCACCCTCACCCCAACCATTGAGTTAGAGAGCCAGAGCACACAGCCTGTTTGTTTTAGTATCCAGGGAAGAGACCAAGGAGCCAGCTGGCTAGACTGGGTAGGGGTGTGCTGTTATGCCCTGTCCTGCTCATAATCTGACAGAATGCCAAACCAATAAGTCAGACAGCTGATACCACAGCCATGAGGAAATGTGCTCTGAGAGGGCACAGGAGAGAGCTGGGCATATAAATCAAAAGCTTCAGCATGGAACCAGGAGCCTCAGCAATGAAGAAGGCTGTCTTACCCTGGGGAGGAGGGAGGAGTTTGCTGCTTTGAGAGGGAGAAATGATGAGTTTAGAAAGCAAAATAAGGCTTTGCTCTTGGACAAGTTGTACTTTCTGCTCTTTTGTCAGTGACCATCCCTGTAATCCTCCAAGGGCCTACTAGGGGCTAGAACAGGCAAGGCATGTGGTTCAGCAGGAAGCCTGGGCATTGTCTAGGCTGGAATCCAGGGCACCAGGCAAACTGCTTAGGGAGACTTACTCAGCTGTAAAATGGGGACCAAGATGGCTGGCTCCCCTGATTGCTATACTGATAAAATAATTGGTAAGATTCCTCTAGCTTAGTGTCTGCTACAGGACAGTATTTCAAATATTGGTTCTTGTAGCTGGAAGTATAGTTCTGGTAGAGTGTACGGTTAGCATGTTGAAGGTCTTGGACTCTGTCCTGCGTGCCATAAAAAAAAATAAATAAACAAAGTTAATTCTCAAGCAGGGAGTGGTGGTGCATGCTTGTAGTCCCAGCACTTGGGAGGCAGAGACAGGTGGATCTCTGAGTTCAAGGCCAGCTGGGGCTACAGTGAGACCCTGTTTCAAAAAGACCAAAAAAAAAAAAAAGGCCAATAAGCCAGGTGTGGTGGTGCATGCCTTTAATCCCAGCACTTGGGAGGCAGAGACAGGTGGATCTCTGAGTTCAAGGCCAGCTGGGGCTACAGTGAGACCCTGTTTCAAAAAGACCAAAAAAAAAAAAAAGGCCAATAAGCCAGGTGTGGTGGTGCATGCCTTTAATCCCAGCACTTGGGAGGCAGAGACAGGTGGATCTCTGAGTTCAAGGCCAGCTGGGGCTACAGTGAGACCCTGTTTCAAAAAGACCAAAAAAAAAAAAAAGGCCAATAAGCCAGGTGTGGTGGTGCATGCCTTTAATCCCAGCACTTGGGAGGCAGAGACAGGTGGATCTCTGAGTTCAAGGCCAGCTGGGGCTACAGTGAGACCCTGTTTCAAAAAGACCAAAAAAAAAAAAAAAAAAAAAAAGGTAATTCTCTTAGCTTTTGATCCTAAAAAAAAATCTGTATATAAATATACAACCATTTGGAACTCTAGTTCCAGGGGAATCTGACACCCTCTTCTGACCTAATGGGCATTGTATGACATGGGTGCACTTACATACATGCAGGCAATACACATGCACAAAAAATAAATAATTTTAAAAACATACATATATGAAAAGATTTTCTGTGCAGTTCAGTTGATCAATTGGTATGTCTTCTTCTAGTCTTTCTGAGCATATAAATGTGTTGTGTATAAAAAAATCTTCAGAATTGGAGGGCTGGAGAGATAGCTCAGAGATTGAGCACTGGGTTCTCTTACAGAGGACCCGGGTTCAGTTCCCAGCATCCAGATGGTGGCTAATAATTCATAACTCCAGTTCCAGGGGATCCAACGCCCTCTTCTGACCTCTTCAGGCATTACATGACTCAGATGTATATATATATATATGCAGGCAATACACCTGTATACGTAAAAACAATAAATATTTTTAAAAATTCAGAATTGGGATAATTTACATAACACACAATAAAAAAATTTTTTAAGGGGTCAATGAGAAGGCTCAGAGGGTAAATGTGCTTGTTACACAAACCTGGTAACCTGAGTTCAATATCTAGAACCCACATAAAAGTAGAAGGAGAGAGCCAGGCATGGTGGCTCACATCTTTAATCCTGGCACTTGGGAGGCAGAGACAGGCATATCTCTGTGAGTTTGAAGCCAGCCTGGTCTACATAGTGAGTTCCAGGCCAGCTGGGGCTACAGGGAGGCCGTGCCTCAAAAGGACTAAAAAGAAAAAAAAAGGTAGAGAATGACCTCCACAAAGTTGTCCTCTGACCCCCACATGTGTACTTTGGTATGTTATACATTGTGCACATACACAATAGTACAGAAAAAAAGGAATAATACTGCATATACTTTTTTTTTTTTTTTGGTCTTTTTGAGACAGGGTCTATCTGTAGCCACAGCTGGCCTGGATTCACTATGGAGACCAGGCTGGCCTTAAACTCAGAGCTGCCTGCCTCTGCCTCCAGAGAGTGGGGATTAAAAGCGTGTACCACCATGCCCAGCTTCACTGTATATACTTTTTGATACTGTATTTTATTTAATTCCTTAAGCATTTTGCTGTGTCATTAAGTATAATTCAAAAATGCCAATTTTAGGACTAAGTGTGAAGGTGCACACTTTAATCTCAACACTCAGGAGGCAGAAGCAGGTGGATCTCTATGAGTTTGAGGCCAGCCTCATCTACATAGTGAGTTCCAGGCCAGTCAGGGCTACATAGTGAGACCCTGTATCAAAAAAAAAAATTTTTTTTTTTAATGGCTCAGCAGTTAAGAGCACTTGAAGCTCTTGCAGAAGACCTGGGTTCAGTTCCCAGCACCCACATAGCAACTCACAACCATCTGTAACTCAAGTTCCAAGAATCCAACACCCTCTTCTGGCCTCTGTGGACACTGCATGCACCAAGTGCACTTAACGTACATGCAAGCAAAACACGATGAAATACAGATAAACTTAAAAAAAAAAAAAAAAAGGCCAATAAGCCAGGTGTGGTGGTGCATGCCTTTAATCCCAGCACTTGGGAGGCAGAGGCAGGCGGATCTCTGTGAGTTCAAGGACAGCCTGGTCTACATAAGTGAGTTCCAGGACAGCTGGGGCTACATGGAGACCCTGTCTCAAAAAAAGACGAAAAATAAAAAGCCAATATACTAGTACTCTGTCATGTTAGTATACTGTTTAAAAATTTATCTTTATATTTTTTTTATGTGTGTGAGTTTTCCCTGCATGTATATAAGTATACCACATGTATACAATACAGAGGCCAGGAGAGGATGTCAGATTTCCTGGAACTAGAGTTACTGATGGGTGCTGAGAATCAATCCTTGGTCCTCTGGAGCAAGTGCTTTTTTTACTGCTGACCCTTTGAGTACACTTTAATTAATTAAACCATTCCCATATTATCCAAAAATTTGTATATTATTTTTTATTATGCATATTTTAATGAACTTGGGTGGGCAGTGCTGGGGATCAAACCTGGGGCCTTGAGCATGCTAGGCAAATGCTGTGCCACTGGGCTACATCCCCAGTCCTACAATGAACATCTTTATTGGCATTTTAAATTTTATTTCCTTAATTATCGGATTATTGGAAGCAGAATGACTGCTTTCAGTTTTTGATGGAGATTGTGACAAATTACCTTCCAGAAGTTTCTTACTGTGGTTTCTGCAGAAGAGGATAGCAAGTTGGAAAGGTATTACTAGAATGATGCGTGTTAACATGTGCAAAGTCACCTCATGTTGTTGATGAATATTCAGTAATAACATTTTAATAATATTTACTGCCTGCCTGCCTGCTCTCAAATTTCTCTGGCTCTCGCCTCTGTGTGACTCACAGGTGGCTGGGAGAGATAAAGTAGTTCCCAGCATAGGGGCCACCATATTGTCGTTATCTTCCAACAAGGAAGCCTGCCCACTTTTGGTACATGCTGTGTCACACATGTTCCTTGAAGTGGCATCTATGTGAATTCACACAGTTGAGCAGAAGGAAAGGCTTTGAGGAATTGTTGGTAGCATTTCTATGCTTTAATAATGAGGAAATTCCATGCTATTTAACTAAAAATGTCTGACATGATAGAGATGGGAAGTTGCCTTAATTCTCAAAACTCTCATATATAAAAACGCTGTGTCCCATATATCTCTAACCGATTAAAATTACCTTATTTTTAGAATCTAAGGATGCCCCCATAGAAGTATGACAGTCTTGCAATTAGGTTGGAAGGTGTCTAGAAAAAAAAAAGTTCCCTAGAGATTCATTAGTTACTTGTTTCATGATCAGTAGGAGAGCTTGTATTTTTCCACAAGGAGACTGGCAGAGCCCAAGAGTCCCTTTACAGACAAAAAAAATCTGCCTGGCAGGCTTTGAGGAACCACCTCTCACTCCTGACCCAGATTGCCCTTCGTGGTGGGAAATAGGATAGGAGCTGTGTGAATGTGCTTGGTTTTTGTTTTGTTTTTTTTAGAAAAGAGGTCCTGACCTAGGTTCTCCCAAGGCAACTCACAGAGAGACCGTTCTTTCTGAATTCTTGGAGTAGTTTTTTAAAACATCCGTGACCCACTAGATCACAAAAAGCTCCACGAATCTTGGGCTTGGTTCTTTTTCTGGACAGATAGCTTGTTGAATCATCTTTTAATCATGCAAAACTTTGGCTTGCTTTAGGCTAGTCTTTATAACCAGAATAGCCATTACCTGAAGCACTCAAAGATGCATTTCTCCAGGTGAAAAAGAGAGTAGGGTTAAAATCATATAAATTTCCACTGTTATCTTGAGCATGTTTAACTGTAAAATCCTTACCTCAAACTTGCTATGTAGCCAAGAATGATTTCGAACTCTTAATCTTCCTGCTTTCCAAGTTCTGGGATTATAGGCATGTTCTAACACATCTGGCAAAATGGCCTGTCCTTGAGAGGGCTGGCCAGAAAGCAGTGTGCTCAGAGGACAGCCAGTCTTCAATTTAGGCATGAGGGGAAGGGGACTTTAAGAAAAGAGATTGAGGATGCCGGGGAATTTGCTTATCACAGAGCTAGACATCTTAGAGCCTAGTGAAGGAGGGAAGGGAGGAGTGAGGACAAGACCTTAAAGACTCAGACTCCTGAGTGACTGGGGTTTAAACATGACTGCAAAGTACAGAAGGATTAATTCTGCCATCTCTGGGATGAGGGTGGGCAACCAGGCCTATTCTTACATCTCAAAGATGTTGCCTTGGGTTGTCATGGCTTGGTACTCCTGATGCTGAAAGGTGTCTTTCTAAGGCTTCATATGTTGAATCATAAAGATTTGGAATAACTGCTGAAACACATAGCAGAGGGATCAAGGACATATGAGATGAAAGGCAACTTTGAAGATACCACAGGCTAAGATCTGCAGTGGTACTAGTTGTGTGTTCTTTTTCAGTGAGTGGCTGTACCTTCCTTATGTAGAAGTTGAATTTCAGAACTGATTCAAAGCTGATGATCTACAAAGATGGTGTAGCAGAAGAACCAAAAACCAGATCAAGCATAGTATGTAGCTTTCTGCTCTGTTCTGAAATGCTCATCCTAAGCAGCTCTGCTCTATGTAACTCTCCAGATGCCTTGGGCTACTGATTTGCCATTTGTCTGCTAGTTCCTGGCTTTGCCTACATGAGGTCCTATCTCACTGTGTTCCCAAGAAAAATATAGAGGCTAGTTTTCTCTCTCACAATCTCAAGGTAAGAAAGTAAAGTTGAGGTCTCCTTTGCTGTCCCTTGCTGCTTCCTATTACTCTATTTCTGCCTGTGAAAGTCTCTTTCTCCTTTGAAGGGGTTACCCCCTGGCTAGACCATCCTCACCTCTCTCATTAAGATCTCTGACTCAGAGCTTTCTCCTTTGCAGCTTTGTTATTTGTTCTGGATGGCTTCAGTGCTGCAGGTGCACAGGTTCTTTGGCCTTCTCATCTCTAAAACTTCAT